CCGGGAGCAGGTGGCGCGGGGCAGGCCGGGAGCAGGCGGCTCGGGGCAGGCCGGGAGCACAGCGCGCGGGGCAGGCCGGGAGCACGCTGGGTGAGGGAATCTCTGAGGGCCGCCAACAAGGATTTGAGGCGAGCAAAGTTGGACTGAAGTTCCCGCAGGGGTGAGCGGCGGCCATGCGTGGCCTGCTGGACCCAGCCGGCCGGAGAGGCCTCTGGCTGAGGGAGCCCGGGCGGAGCCAGGGGGTCACCTAGCCGGTGTCTATCCAGCTCTTTCCTCAGGACCAGGAAAGCCTGGTGCACTGGCGCCAGAGGCAGCAGCTTCTCCAGAGGCGTGGCTTTTACAGTTAAAAAAAAAAAAATCATACTCAGGGCCCAGCAGATGGCGTAATGGTTACGTTGCTGGGCTCCCCCGTAGTCAGCCGTAGTTCAAATCCAGGACCAGAGTCCTACAACTCAGGCCCTGGGCATGCGTTCCCAAAATCTCAGGAAAAGGGATTGCGGTGTGGCCATGCGGGGGAGGGGTGATTTCTCGCCTAATGTCTCTCGGGCAAGGGCCCATGTCCTACAGCAAGTCTCTCTCTCGCTCTCTCTCTCTCGCTCTCTCACACACACAATAAAAAAAGATTTGGCCTAGGTTTTGAGCTTTACAGTATAGTTCTTATACAATCTAGCAAAGAAAATAAACAGAACTTCTTTTTGAACTTGCAGGTTTTACAAGTTACAGTTTTTAAAAATATGTATTTAAGGTAATTCTCATAACAAACAAATGATTGCTTTTTCCTGAACAGGTCGATGTTGTTTCCATACAACTTTGCGCTCAGTCTGAGAAGGACAAGGAAGAGGAGGACTGCTCACAGGAATTCTTAGTGATTTGAATTTAAACCCCTGTCATAAGATATTTAAAGGAGGGAATCAGCAGTTAGCGTAATGGCTATGTCGCTGGACTCCCACGTAGTTGACCACGGTTCGTATCCTGGACCCGGTGGCTTAAAATTCACACCGTGCGCGTGTGCGTGCATGCCCAGGATCCTGAGAGGAGAATGGAGGAGAAGGGATTGCGGCGTGACCATCCCTCCTGGGGGGTGATTTCTCACTTTCTGTCTCTATGTCTCTCTCTCTCTGGTGAGTGCATGTGCCCTATAGCAAAAACCTCTCCAAAAAAAAAAAAAAAAGATATTTAAGGGAAATATAGATGGAAAATCATTTGTGTTAAATATGTTTTAGAAACAAGTTCCAGGCTTTTACCCATGTTGTTGACCTATTTTGTTTAAAAATATACAATATAGCCTGGACCCAAGCTATATTTTGCCTTGTTCATTATCGATGTCCTATACTAAAACATTTCAGATGAAGTGATTAAAATGTTGAGGTAAATTGTGTTTGCCTTGGCACTTTGTACTTTTTTTTAGTTTACTTTTCACAAAAGAAATCATTTTTTATAGAAGAGAGCATAAAATCAGAGAAGAAATATTTTTTATCTTTAATGATATCAGAATTTATATTGATTAAACATCAATGCCTTGTGTGAATTTGTGTTAACCACTATAAGAATCCTGTCTTTGAAAGAACCAAATGGTTCTCCAGTGATGAAAATTTCAAATACTGTGGTTCTTAAGTGACAGAGATGGATTTGGAGTCAAAAGTTTGTTTTTAGCCTTCCTCAAATACATTACAAATGTGTTCATTCCTGTCATCAGACTCGGGACTGGTCTCACTCCAGATTCCTGGACTAATAATATGTGATAACTTTTCTTCCTGAAGATAGAAAACATACTGATAACAAAAAGTTTATAGAATCAGAATCCAAGGCTTCTTCATGACGTAGAGCTCTTCGAAAAGTTCATGGGAATGCACATTATGAAAAAACTATGCATGGATGTCAACTATTTCTAGCACCAAAATAAACTCTTAACTATAGTTCCCTTTTTGTTTGTTTGTTTGTTTTTAGAGAGGTTTTTGCTATAGGGCATGTGCGCTCACCAGAAAGAGAGAGACAAAGCAATAAATCACCCCCCCGGGGGGGGGGGAATGGCCATGCCACAATCCCTTCTCCTCCATTCTCCCCTAGGGATCAGGCATGCATGCTCATGCACCTGGCGTGACTTTAAGCCACCAGGTCTGGGACTCAAACTGCGGTCGACTACTTGGGAGCTCAGTGACATAGCCATTATGCCAACTGCTGGTTACTATAGTTCCATTTTCCACAAACTTTGTGAAGTTCCCTCATATTTATGACTGTTGCAGTATTTGACCTTCAGTAGGCTGCTTTACTGTTACAGGTATCTTTTCTGTAATATTGGATTGTTGGAAAAGTAATGACTTTTTTTTCTGTTTTTCTATGTCATGACTTTTCTGACAACCCAATATATAATATAGAAATTAAAGTATGCTCTGTGCATTATGATCTGTAAAATGTGTCCCAAGAAGTTTTAAAGCCAGATAATTTAGTAGAATAAGAAACTAGGTAACAATTTAGAGATGATTTTCTTTCATGTAAAACGAGAAATAATCTCTCAATGTGAAAGTACTTCAAGGAGATCTGAAACAACAGAAGCACGTTTTCACTTTCAAATTATTGTTATTGTCATAGGAAAGATTTTATTTTCCTGGAGAAAAAAAAGAAACAGGAATAGCCAGGAATTGTAAAAAACAATTTGTTAAATAAAAATAATATAGTAAAAACTTATCTAATGCAATAGCAGGGTAGGCATTTAATAAACATTAGCTGGTGTTCGTCTTATTTATACTCAAATTATTCTACTCTTATAGAATTGCACATTTAAAATTCTATATTATCTTTTGGGGTGGTGAAAATATTCTAAAACTTATTACAATATGGTCAAAAAATTTTGTGAATATAGTAAAAAACATAAAATTGTACACTTTAAATAGATGAATTATGTTAAATGAACTAAATCTTAATAAGACTTATGCCAGAAAATCCTAGAAACCACTAGAAAACCTTAAAGGTAAAATGTAAGTGATATTTAACTGCAAAAGTTTGCTAACTAATTTTATTTTTATTACCTAATTCTAATAAAATATCAAATATGTGCTGAGTTGGTACTGAAACAATTGATAAGGTAGTTTACTATCTTTATTGCTGCTTGTTTTTAAAGGCTTCATTGCAAAGATATTCAGTGAACAAGAAAACATGAATGATTCTAGGCAGCAGTCATTGTTCTTCCTCACGCTTCCAGATTTACGCAAACTCTGTGCTATCAGGATAATACTGAGTAATGGGGTGGCAGATACTGAGGTTAGGAGTACACAAATGAAGATGTGCAGGTAATACTACATTTTGTACCTAAGTCTTTTTAAACGTTTAAGACCTGTAAGAGCTGTTTTAGAATTATTTAAAACAAAACACTCATTCACTCAATCTGTGTATATAATTTTTTGAACTTTTGCTATAGGGCACATGTGCTCACTAGTGAGAGAGAGATAGAGAGGGAAAGTAAGAAATTATGCACCCTCCCCTCATTCTGGAGGATGGCCACACTACAACCCTTCTCTGTCCTCTTCTCAGGATTTTGGGCACCCATGTGTATGCATTCAGTGTATTTTTCAAGTTGCTGGGTCCAAAACTTGGACTGCACAGTTGGCCATGTGGGATCCAGCGGCCTTAACTGGTTAGCCCTGTATATAATTTTAAAGTAAAGGACTCAATTTTGTTTCGACCAAGTATGTTGGATTACATTTAAGGAGGGATTTAAAATCCTTGAGGTAGAATATTTAAATGTTGAATTTTTACTTTTATAACTTCTTACATGTTTTTTGTTTTGTTTTGCTTTTGTTTTCTCCATGGGGTGCATGCACTCGCTTGGGAGAGAGAGAGAGAAGGGAAATGATTCTTAAGTGTGTTTTAAGAATTTTAAATCTCTACACATATTCATGAATTTAAAAAGCCAAGCTCCACCAAACTTAGAGACACTAACTAATAAATATTTGTTGAGTAACTACTGTTTATGGATCACTTAGAAGGAGAGACATTGTATGTCCCCACTCAGTACATACCGAGTGTCCGCACTCTATGACTGAAACTTAGTAAAGGATATAGAAACACAGTAAATGGAAGTGAATACCAGATATAGTGTGTGTGAAAGAGTAGAGTCTGAGGAAGGACATTTAGAAGAAAAATAGAGAGGCAAAGCATTAATGGGACAAAGAAATGTGGTATTATCTGTTGAAGATAATTTTATAGTTTTGTCAACTGGACTAGGGAGAAATGTTCACATGTTGAAATATTCCCTTTGTAAGCTAAATAGCATGATTGAATGTCTAAAAGGAAATTAAATTAAAAAAATAATAAATACTCTAAGTATTTTAGATTAGTATAGTTTCTTAATTTTCAAATTACTATAAAATGCTCAAGATTATTTCTCTAAGAACTATCAAAATATCTGGCCTGAGGTAGTCTTTGAAATATAACTTAGTTGAAACTTCAACTATAATTTCATGATTACTAAGGACATACCATGTATCAGTCCCTTACATTGTTTGAGGCACTCAGAGGATGACTCATAAAATACATGACAAGATTAATTTCTCAGTGCATAAGCACCTGTAAGATTGCAGAGGCTTAATAAATAAATAACATAAGGAAGATAATTTGGGGATGTCTCCATGTTCTTCCTATTTACAAAACTCTTCTCTTCATTTCCACTCAAGTAAATAAGGGAGCCTGTACAATTCCTGCTAAGGGGTAACTTGATATTACCTATTGAGAACTTACCTATGAACTGCTTTGGAAATATTGAAATAGCTAGAAAACTATAAGTGAAATATTCTGTTCTTACCCTTGAATTGAAGCCTTCTGGATCCCAACAAATGTTGGCCCATCTTGTTTTTTGAGGCGACCTTATATATGTAATATATGTACTCATGGTAGTTTTTCCTTTTTTTTTTATGACTTATGATGTTAAAAATGTTCAGAGTTTTAACTGTATTATCTTTTGTGTTTTCTTATCTTTTCCTTGACCTTTGAAACAGAATTACAACAAAATTGTGTAAATAGTCATTTGAATTGTCATAATTTTTATTTTGAATTTATTTGGCTGTTAACTAAGCTAAAACTGCTACCTACTTGACATGGATTGGGAAGAATTTCTTTTTAGAAGGAAATGAATCTAGCAACTAGTACTAATTTTGAAGTAGTTTATACCTTCACTGGCAGCTGAATCCTTAGACTTTTGCTTCCAGTGCTCCCTACTCACCAGTTTGGGGCGGGGTGGGGGGGAGGAAGGAAGTGGAAGAAATTAGTCAAAAGAGAGGTTCCTCAGTGTATTTAAACATCTTTAATATATACACACACACATACATACATACATACTTAGGACAGAAATGGAGTCTTAGAAGAGAAATTTAAGTTCACAGATGAAAGACGTTGGCACACTTAGATACAGGGACAGGTTTCCACAGTAATATCAGTGTGTTTTAAAACTTCATGATTCTCCATTTTTTAATTTTATCTATTTCTTCCAATGGATAGAGAGACAGAGAAGGAGACAGGTACCCCTAACAGAATCTTCACATCATGATTCACCCATAGCCTAAGGCCACCAGAATCACAGACACACTTCTGTGTCCCCAGTGTGTACAGGAAGACCTCAGGATGTGAATCTGGGACCTTCCCATTGTTTTCAACATTGAGGAGCACTATGTTACAAATCTACCATGGCAGCTGGCCCATAATTCTCTCTCTTTTTATTATATATTTTTAAATGCTTATTCATCTTTTTTTTTTTTTTTTTTTTTTAAGAGAGAGAGATACAGAGAGAAAGAGACAGGCACTGCAAACAGGATTCTTTTACCACAATTCGCCTCCAGCTTCAGCCAGCCTGGAACACAGAGCCCTGGCATACTCAGGGACGTCCCAGGATGTAAACCTAGGAACTGCCCTTGTGGTTTTAACTGTGCTAACACTGCGCTACCCATAGTTCTGTTGATTCAAATATTGGGTCAGACTCTGCAATGTTCAAGTTTCCATGTTAAGCATGGTGAAAGAAACATAAGTGTGTAACATAATCTTTAATTTAGAGAAACTTAGAATTTTAACTAAGCAAATTTTCTAAATGTTTCAACAAAGCAAAAACACAGACAGTGAACAAGTTCACTTTGAAATTAATACATTTCATCTCCACAGGCAATTGCTATTTTTGTATCAAGATATTCTTACATCACCTGTGCCTGGAACATTAAACCAAATTTGGGTGATTATGGCGGTTAGTATTTTAACATTTTATAAAATATTACCAATTATTGGGAACAATAATGATAAACAGTATTTAGGTATTAGAACTGAAATTTAAAGTGACTTATGAGGATGAATCATACTGTGTTGTAGTTTGATTAAACTATTAACAGATTAATTTTGACATGTCTGATATTTAAAATCCATTTTTTATGATTCCATTATAATTTAATATTCAAAACTGCTAAGATAAAGATCATTAAGAATAAACCATGTTACAGTATAATTTTTAAGAAAACATGTCTTAATAACTTTTATCGTATTTTATTTTGTTAGAGTTACACTTGACGTTAAGGAAGAATTTCCTCATTTCAACAAATATCCAACCAATTTTAAGGAACTTAGGCCAGTGTTTCTTTTAATTTGAAATTTTTATTTTAAAATTTTTATACTCATGACTTGTAGGATGGGCCTCTAGATAGACCTCGGGTAGAGGATCCTTAACTACTGCCTCCTCTCCCCCATCATCACCCAGTTTCAGCAAGAAGTCAGAATGGTCTTTAACCCTTGTGCCCCTAACAGCAGTTAGGAATTCCTCTGCAGAGTGGGGAATGAGGTAGTAGACAGGGACCATAAAAATATAGTTGGGGTATGGGCCCAAAATGGAATCACAAAATGGCTAAGTTTTGAGACGGAGGCACTGATGGTTCAGTGATCGACCTAGGCAGTATGACCTAGTCTTAACACAGGCTTTTTCCATGCCCCAACAAATTCCAGGAAGAAGGTAAGATACTGGTTTTCATGACCTGAAGCTTCTACACGAAGAATCTCCTGACCTTGGTACCCACTCCAAAATTAGGAAAATAATTGTACTCATTCAGCAGGCAACCCACCCCACCAGGAGGAGAATGGATGCACAAGTTCCACCTAGACCAAGTCTGGACAAAGCCCTTCCTAACCCAAATAAAAACCCCTCACCACAGTTCTTCCTTGCCAACCCATTTTCCAGGACTCCTCCCTTTTTGGGAGCACTGTTTTTCCTTCCCTCTCCTTTAATAAACTCCCCACTTTGCTACACCATAAAAAAAGAAATTACACTCAATGGAATAAGAACTAGGCTCTATAGCCGTGAACAATGGAAAGGGGGGTAAGTGGGAGGGGCTTAGGAAGGAAGTCCTTGACAAACATAAGAATATGAAGTTTTCTGATAGAAAAGATGTATGTGGTAATATCCTTGATTTGATGGTAATGTGATGCATGTTTTTGACAAGAACTACTAACATATTTTCCAATGCTATATATTCCTGGGAATGAAAATGAAATGCCAAAAATGTTTATGAAAATCTTATCGTCCTGAGGCTTTTGTCAAAAATCTTTCTGAAAATCTCATTCCTCTAAGATTTTAATTCCTCAGAATCCAGTTAAATCAACATTTGTTAACAATGCTGATAAGTCCTCCAACCATTCAGTTCTTTTATTTTTGTTAGGTCTTTGTTGTATGCCTTTTATATTCTCCTATCTTTATAGTTTTTAAGAAAGACCAGTCATTGGTGAATAAGTAGACTAATATCTCTTATTTGCCTCTCTTTTCTACCTGAAAATCTTTATGGAACAAAAAAGATTTAATTTTAGAGTTCTAGTAAACTCAACTATTCTAATCTTAATAGGAATAATAAGAAGAAAGTAGCCATTTACTATATATATTTTGCTCTCTTATAAAGGTATTCTATAAAAAATTTATAAGACTATTTAAAGAAAATGATATTATTATATCCACTACTTTGAAGCCTGCCTTTATTTCCCCTTTAACAATGTCTCCTGGACATGTTTTCATGTCAGTGCATAAATCTTCCTGGTCATTAAGGCTGTGAGGTATTCCACTTTACAGGTATATCACAATATTTCCTAATGCGCATCTGAGTTTCTACTTTTCTACTACAAACAATGCTTCAGAAGCAGTGCTTCAGAAAGCATTGCTGAAATTATATCATTTTTATTTGGCTGCTTATTCCTGTGGGTTACATTTTTAGAAGGAAGATTGCAGCACATTTTAACTATAACCCAGAAACTACTGAACTGATTTCTGAAAAGCTTATACTGGATTACCTTTTAACAATCAGTGTATGGAAGACTCTATTTTTCTATACCCTCATAAACTCTGGCCAGTCTGTTTTAGATTAAAAAATAAAATCTTCCTGTAATTCCTACTTCTCTCGTTAGAGAGCTGGAATACTTAGACTTTTTAAACTTGATTTTGCATTTATGTCCATTTTCTTATGTCTAAAAATTTATTGTCTTATTAAAGGATAAATTAATTAATTGTATGAAATTTATGGATCCTTTTATTTATATGGTGGTCTGTAACTCCCAGAAATGTTTTCCACACTTTGAGAATGTGCCTGTAGGTTCTAGTTCAAGGTGATAATGATCATTTTTCTAAGGCATAGAGGCTGCTGGGATGATAGGCTGATTTTGTGTCTTCTGCTATATAATATTTAAAATCTTTGTATATTACATTATTTAATTATATATTTGCTAAACCCTTTACAAATGTGGATTTTTGTTATAGATACCATTTTATAAAGCTGGAAAACTTAATGCCTATATTGAAAAATATGGAGCTAAGGTAAATTTTTAAAAGGATAATAATTTCAAATGTTTATATTTCTGTGTATTCAACTTCTTTTGTTAGCAAACAAAAAACTGGAGTGTTGCATGTGAAAAAAAAATCAACTTTTTTTCTAAATAGTTATTTTGTTTATCTTGAGTATAGAAAATAGGGAGAGGCTTTTTGTTGTTGTTCAATACTTTATTGCAGCCATATCATGTGGCGTTATCTCATTTACCATATACATCTTCAAAGAAGCGAATCTTCCCATTTCTACAGATGAAGAAGATGAAACTCAGAGAGATGAAATTACTCTCCACAGTCATATGGCTGGCTGATAATGGAGAAAGAAGACACTAAAAGGTATACTGTGCATGGTGATGAGCATCTTAGCAGTGAAGAAAAAGAATACATGGTGATGAGCCTTCCCCTGCTTTCAGTTCATCAAGTCATGAGGCCATAGCTAGAGCTTGCTTCATGCTTCTACATGTCACCCTGAAGTATCATTGATTATTTAGCTGCCTGTCTAGGCATTGCTGTGGCCAGTGTTCCTAGGTCTAGTAGGTTCTAGACATTTAGGTTTCTGGTCCTCTCCAAGATGAGATGCCACTTTTAGATTCCAGGAAGATGATAAAGTTTCAATAATATCTAGAATTGCTTGCAGTTACCTGAGAAATCTTTGAATAAACTCAAGGCTGGTTTTAGCCATTAGTCACAATCTGTGCAAGAACAGAATATTTTTTTTCTTGGAGAGGTTTTTTCTATAGGGCACATGCCCTTGCCAGAAAGACAGACAGAGACAGAGAGACAGAAAGCGAGAAACCACCCCCCAGGGGGGATGGCCACACCACAATTCCTTCTCCTCCATTATCCTCTCGGGATCTTGGGCACGCACACACACGCGCCTGGCATGAGTTTAAACCTCCGGGTCTGGAACTCAAACCATGGTCGGCTACATGGGAGTTCAGCGACGTAGCCATTTTGCCATCTGCTGGTCCCAGAACAGATTTTTTTTTAAGAATTATTTTATTTATCATTATTTTCCAGTTTTATTAGAGAGAGACAGAGAAAGAGAGGGAAAATGAGAAACCAAGCCACCAGGTCCAGGACTTGAACCACAGTTGGCCATGTGGGAGTCCAGCGCCTTTAACCACCACGCCACTTGCTGGCCCTCAGAACAGAATTTTTTAAGAGCAATGAAGAGGGATTTGGGTTAAGTCATTTTGCTGAGATAAATCTTCGATCATCTAAGTTGCTTATAGTACCGCTATTTTTCATGTCTATCGAATCTGTAGTGATAGCACCTCTCTTTTCCTGATATTGGTAATGTATATCTCCTTTGTTCTCCTCCCTGATCAGTCTGGCTAGAGATCTAGTAACCTTACTGGTCTCCTCAAAAAATAAGCTTTTGGTTTTATTGAATTTCTCTGTAAAATAATGGAATTAATTCCATTTATTTTCCTTTTGTTCTGTATTATCTTTCACTTAATTTGGGTTTAGTTTGCTCTAGTTTTTTTAAAGTAGAAGTTTTTAAGGCTGATTGAAGAAATTTCTTGTTTTAAAATATAAAAACATTAGGTGTTAAACATTTCCTCTTAATTATATGTTTTGTTTTATTCGCCTCAATTACAAATACTTTCTAATTTTCATTTGATTTTTTCTTTAAACTATGGGTTATTTAGAAATTTATTATATCATTTTGAAATATAGTCATGTACCTCAGAACATTTTAGTCAGTGACGGACTGCATATATGATGGGGGTCCCATAAGATTATAGTAGGCTATTCCAGATAGCTGAGCTGTGTAGTAGGTTATATCATCTCAGTTGTATAAATACACTCCATGATATTTGTACAGTGACAAAATCACACAATGGCACATGCCTTGGAGTTTATCTCCATTGTTAAGTAGCATGTATTTGGGATTTCTTAAGGAACTCTCTGCTATAGATGTCTAATTTAATTGTTAGAGGACGTGTTCAGTAAACTTGAGTCTTTTTAAATTTATTGAGACTTATGTTCCAACATGTGATCTGTCTTAGTAAATACTTTATCCATGTGTATTCTGCTATCATGTCAGGTATTCCATAAGTATTAATCAGGTTGCATTGGTTAATCATGTTAAATCTATTCTCACTTATTTTCTGTTACTTATATCAGTTATTGAGAGACAAATATTAAAATCTCTACCTGTAATTATAAATTTGTCTATTTCTCTTTGAAGTTCTTTCCCAGCAGTCCTGGGACAACTGTAGAGATATCTCCAAAATGAAACTATCCTTGGTTATTTGTGGGAGATTCCTAAAGGACTGATTTGTTGTTCATGCACTTCTTGCACCATGGGAGTTGCTCAGACAAAAAAGGTGTATAAAGTTCATCCCTAACTATAGCTTAAGGGATAAAGGACACCTTCTTTGTCTTGCAATCCTTCAGTTCACCAGTGAAAATAGTTATAAAATGATAGAATTACCCCAGATTTCCTCCTTGCATGTCAAGACTCTCTGTCCTGATACATCCTGCTATATCTGGATTAATTCATTAGACCAAAGAGAAAATCAATATGGAAGTAAAGAACCACCTAACTTTCTAAGGTAGGCTCTGTTGGTTTATGGGACATGTTCAGCTGCTTCTGCCTGGGCCCCTGGGGCCATCCACGATCAAAGACAACAGTGGAGGTTGAACTCATCCTGCTGATCGTAGTCCTGTTGATAGTAGCCTTAATTAAATTCTCTATAAGACAAATTCAACATATCTGGTTACATCGCCTGTCAAGAGTATTCAATTGTGTCATGGAAATATTACCGAAAAGACAAAATGCTACAAGGATGATGGGAGGAAAGGCAGACAATATTGGGAAACTGTTCTCAGCCCTCTCACTTTTCTGCATGCTTTTCTGGGAGAGTCAATGACAGCCTTTTTTTCTGGACTCTGTTTCAAGGATATTCTATAACAAGCAACCTTGGTTCTTTCTTCTGTTTGGGTAGTTTCCTCACATACATGTGTTGACTCATCCCCAGTTGAATACTCCAAAGGGGCTCTCACATATCTCCTGAATTTTCTCTCTGTGCATCTCTTTCCTCTCCAGTACTTTGCCTTGAAAACTCTAGATTCCCTAGCCTTTCTGGACTCTCAGCCCTGTCTCCTCAATTCAGGGACAGCATGGACTCTTCCTGGATTCCTCCTCCTTGCACAATAGCTGGGAAATCCTCTGTAATCAGTAGAGTGGACAATCAGAGGACCTATCTTCTTGGTGTCCTATCTTTTGGTGATCACTTTTCTTTGTTGCCTGATGGCCAGTATCTTATGGACCATTGTTATATAACTTTCTAGTTTTTCAGACATTTCAAGTAGAAAGATAAATCTGGTTTCTATTATTCATTGGTAAGAAGTCAAAGTCCTGATTTTTAAAATTCTGTACAAATAGATACTCTGCTCATTGCATGTGTGCTCATGTAAATATTTAATCATTTTATGATGTTGAACTAGAATAAACAATAATGAAAAATATTACAAGATCATCTGGTCTGAGTCCTTCTGTGTGGAGCAGAATATAAAATAACAGTGAAGGTTTTAGCATAGGCACTCTCAAAATTTAATCTTACAGGGTCATTGAAGCAGATAGAATTTGACCATGACAGTATTACAGTAGTAGTGGTTTTTGTTTTGTTTTGTTTTGTTTTTTTGGAGAGATTTTCACTGTAGGGCGCGTGTGCTCGCCAGACAGACAGAGAGAGACATAGAGACAGAAAGCGAGAAATCACCCCCCAGGGGGGATGGTCACGCCGCAATCCCTTCTCCTCCATTCTCCTCTCGGGATCTTGGGCACACACACACACGTGCCCGGCATGAGTTTTAAGCCACCGGGTCCGGGACATGAACCGCGGTCGACTACGTGGGAGTCCAGCGACATAGCCATTACGCTAACTGCTGGTTCCCAGTAGTAGTGGTTTTGACACAAGTATTTTTTGACACTTCTGTATCTTTAGAACCAGATCAGATTAGTTTTATCAATGACCATAACTTTTACCCAAATGAGTCCAGCTTGTTGGAGTTCATCTTAAGCATCTAGCCATCTCCCTATGAATTTATAGAGACACAGAAATTGCTGTTAAATTTGCCCCAATTTTTTCTTTTAATATTTTTAGATGGAGGCTCCACAAAGAATAATTCCTATAATTCTTCAAAACTGCCTTTCCTATTCATTCATGGCAAAACTTGCTCCAGACTGGCATAGAGCTGGCCATCTCTTGGTACAAGGTAACTTTACCTCTTTCAGATAATTGGAACTTTCTGACCAGATTATTTCTATTTTGTGCATCTGTTTTTAATTTCAAAATATATTATTTCTTGAGAATAGTCCTTAAAATAGCCCAAATAAGCATTCTCAAACAATCCCACAACAACATAAATGTCATCTTGTTACTTTGAGATTATATCCACAGGCCTGCCGATATTTAAATTTTATTATATATCTGATACTTAAAGAAAAAGAAATACAGGTTATGAAATACTATGATAAAATGAACAAAAATAGCCATTGTTGTTGGAACCGAGTCTATTTTAAATTTTTGATGAGGTCTATTTTCTAAGTTTTTTATAGCAGTAAGTAAATATTTGAGAGAAAGATTGTGTTTTTCTGTTTTTTGAATTGAAGAGAAACTTTGAGTGACTATATTTTTTCCCTCTAAGTATCATCAGATATTCCTTTATATAATAATCATATCTTAAAGCATTTTCCTTAATTTTGATAATTTCATATAAAAAGATTATATTTATCAAGCACAATTATGAATTATAATAATATGACATATCCTATTTTTTAAGGAAGAGATTTTCTTTCTCATATGGGAAAACAAAATGCTGTTGGTAAGTAGAAATGTACAAGTCAATATACAAAACATTAATATAATTAACAGTTGTTGATAGAGCAATGTTCTAGATCACTGAGTTTTACAATAGTGATGATTATTTATGTCCAAATTTGATCAGATAATACTGTAGTCGGAATTTTGCCTGAGAAATCACATCTGGTTCCAATACAAATTCTACCTGTATAAGAAAACAGTTATTCATCTTAATTAGAAAAAAATCTATATTTTTGTTTTATTTACTTAAACAAAATTATTATTGTGATGGAGTTGAATTCTGCAGACAATTATAATATATTGCTTCCAGAATCATAACATCAAAAGTTCTTAGGACCAGCAGTTAGCGTAATGGCTATGTTGCTAGACTCACTGTAGTTGACAGCGGTTCGAGTCCCAGATCTGGTGGCTTAAACTCACGCAGGGCATGTGTGTGTGCATGCCCAAGATACCGAGAGGAGAATGGAGGAGAAGGGATTGTGACGTGGCCATCCCCTCTGGGGGGTGATTTCCCGCTTTCTGTCTCTCTGTCTCTCTGTCTCTCTCTGTCTTTCTGGCAAGTGCACACACCCTATAGCAAAAATCTCCCTCCCCCCCAAAAAAAGTTCTTTAGTACTGGGCCAGTCCCAAGATATAGCAGTTTTTCTCTACTCAGAAGAAGCCACATCCCACATGGTCAACTAGGTTCATGCCAGGCATGCATGCGTGTGCCCAAGATACTGTCAGGATGAGGAATTAGAGGAAAAGAATTGCAGCATGACAAGCTCCATTGGAGAGTGCTTTCTCTTTCTCATGCACATGTCCTCTGGCATTAAAAAAACACTTAGTACTGATGAGTTAAAGCTTTATTTCTTATAAGAAGACTGTGTGTGATTCATTTTTTTCCATAAATAATGATCTAAAGTATGTAATTTACTATATGATCCAATCTAATTCTGTCATTTATTTGCATGGCTGTATTACTGGTAGACAGGTCCCCAACCAGCAGTCCAGAGATAGCAGACATGTGGGAATCCTGCACCCACAGTGCACATTATTAATCAGTCACAGTAGCTTTCCCCACTTTGGGGACATAGCCTTAAAATCCTGACCTAACATCTGTAATCCACAACAACTGCATCTAACTGGACTCTCCATCATGTGCCCTGCAGTGCAGTCCCCGGGCTCTAGCTTTGGATGAATATATTCATCATCTGGATTTAGTTTCATCCCAAACACTATCATGGGACTATAGCTGTAAGGATTAGAGATAACTTCAGGAGAACAAAATTAAATTTTTTAAGATTTTATTGAAGGGTAGTAAACTACAGCAAAACTCACAAATTGTATAACTTATCAAGTTTTCACAAACTAAATATATTCCTGTAACCAAGAAACATTACCAATACCATTATGCTTTCATTAAGTGCTACCCCTTGCCAAAGTCACTTGTCAGAAGTAGCTTTATTTATGAAAAACAAGGTAGAGGATGCAGGGCTCTAGGAGTTCTGGAATTTATCTGTCAGTATATTTGAGGATTTTTATTAGTAAAACACTCAAGTCAGAAGCATGGTATAATACCTTTTCAGGAGAAATCTATACATAATAGATGTCAGGCTTGTATAAAGTATTTACTGGGTTTTCTCTTAAACTGTAGGACATCTCATTTTTCCTACTGTAGCCCTGCCCTATGACCCTTCCCCACCTCACACATATCCATACTGCTTTGTATCTTTGTCTTCTTTCAGATGTCTCATCTGTAGACTGTCAAATATTATATGGTAAAATTATTTAAATCTCACCATTGTGGAAAAAATTCTGCTCTTAGTTGCTGACTTGAATAAAGAAATTTCTTTGTTACAAAAAATACTTTATTTGATAGGATGGAGTAATGATTCCAGACAGTTTACAGTTCAATATTTTATTTTCAGTCTTAGACATCAATGTAACAGAAACTCAGGTTTGTTTAAGTATAGAAGCTTGTACAATCAGACTGCCACCACCTGAGGTACCACATATTCCAATTTCTATAATTTACTGTATTTAGTATATACTTAATATACTTGTTATTATTATTAACATGCTATTAGGTTTTACTGTTTGACATAAAGCCTAACAGAGAAGTTTTTACTATAAATGTCCATATTATTAAATGCTTAACATATTTATATTGTTCTATTTCCCTAAAGAAAATATTCTATTATAGCACAGGTTTTATATTATTCCCTTGTTCAAAGATCACATCAAGACCCAGTTGCCATGCCCCAGACAGTAGGGTGCCACCATGCAATACTGGAACCACACAGGAGGCCAGTTCAGATCACAGCTGACCTGACCACACTGGGCATGCCCATGGATACAGCCCTAATCCTGGCTGGCAGGGAGATTGGGGGAGGGACTGTGGTCTGTTATGGCCCTGTCAGGGTTGTCTCTCTTTTTTCTCTCTCTCATGAAATAAATAGACTTAAAAAAAAAAAAACTTTTTAGGTGGCATCTGAGACTCTTTGACAACTTTATACTGCCTCAGAACCTACTTCTTACCTCTTCTTTCCTCTGTAGATATTAAAAGCACTGTTTTAGCTCATACTGAATGTAACAGTCACCCTGTCCTTGGCATTCTGATAGCATTTCTTATGCATCGTTTTTCTACACATGAATATTCAAGTACAGTTAAATGCTTAGTACAGCACCTGGCTCATATTAGAAGTTCAAAATTGATAGATAGTGTTGTTATTTTATTCATAAACAAATTGAGGGTCAGGCAGTTAAGTAATTTGCTCTATGTCATAAAGGTAGTAAGCAAGAGTTTTGCAGGAACTATTACTTTAGGAATTCCAAGGAAAAGGCAATATCTAAGGAAATTTATATTTAAAATTTTGGAAATATTTGCACTATTTTTCACTTTTCCTTCTTGAAATGATCTCCTTTTTAAAATTCTCTGAAACTTTTTTGTTCAGAATCTCCTACTGTTCATTCATAGTTGTTCTTTATCTTATTATTTTAAATATTACTATTTCTTAGGGTTCCACTTTTCAGCCCCCCTTTCTTGCTCTTCACAAACTTATCCATTCAAGTAGCTTGAGGAAATAAACTAGTATCTTCCAGTTTTCTCATGTAGTTGCAACTTATCTGTTCTCTCTCAGATACTGTTACATGAATGTACTAATGGCACTCAGAATCAATTCTGTCTAAAATGGAATATATTTATTTATCATCCTCCCCACCCCAAAGCTGTTTCTCCTTTGTATTGACACTTTTGGTTACCAGCACAAACAGCCAATGAATTGTCTATTGATTTGGTCTTTTTATTTTGCTGAACAGAAATATCTGAGACTGAGTGATTTATCAAGAATAGAGATCACAGTTCCAGTGGCTAGGAAGTCCAAAAGCATGAGTCTGGTACCTGGTCCTGTGTCACAACATGATGACAAGCAGAGAGAGAAATTGGCATATGCAAAGAGAGACCCATAGGCAGTCATCTCACTTTTATAATAACCTACTATCATACTAGCCAACCCATTCCTGAGACAGCCAGGACTCACTCTCTCCAGAAAGACATCACTAACCTATCCTTGAGGGCACTGTCCCATGATGCACTCGCTGCCTATCAGACCTCACCACCTAAAGGTGCCATACCTCTCAACACCATTACATTGGGAAACAAACTTTTCTGCACATGAACATTTGGGGAACAAATCATACCCAGACCATAGCACCTACCTAGAGACTTCAGAGTTATCCTTGGTAGTTCTACTATACAAGCAGTCTTTAATAGCTTACCTTGGTCTCTGAGATTGGCTTTTCTCTGTCTCATTTCCATTGATCTAATTTAGATCCCTCTCTTTTTTCTGTACTATTGAGCTAATCTCCATTTTGGCCTTCTTGGGTCTAGCCTTTCCCTTCTAATATACTCTCTTAATTCCTCCTCACAGTGTTAACAGAGTTCTCTTCCTAAAACAAAGGTTCCCATTTATGTATCTCTAGCATGTCAACATTGCCTAGAGAATATAATATCCAAATTTATTAGATTGGCATTTTAAGGAGGGAATAAAATTTATTAAGTATCTGCTTATCAGTGTGGTATTGGTAGCATAAGAATACTTTATCAATATTTGCTAAGTCAATAAATACAAGGGGGTAAAACTCTCGGGGTGTATGATGAACAGCAGGGTAGTTTGCCAATCCTTGAATAATTTGTGTTGAGAAAGACTAGTATAAACAAAGATACAAGTACCGTGGAGCTCCGTGCAGCAATTAGCTTGAGTCTCTTAATAGTGTATAAAATACGCAGAAGCATATAAACTCAAACTAGGTATATGTAAACTACAAACATTTGAGGGGCCAAGGTTGTGCAGCATTTGGGAGGTGGGAGGTGGTGCAGTGGTAAAAACTTGATGCTCTGTGAGGCAGACCGACATGAGAAAGTTGGTCAGTTTAGCTGGAGTTCCTTGAAAAGTACTAGCCAATAAGGTTACAACATTGTTTCCCGAAAAATGCTATGGTGACAAATTAAAAGGAAGATAAGACTTAATGAATTATTCTCTATAATTTTAATCTAGTGTCCTTTTACCAATTAATATTTTAATTTTTCAGCCCCTTTAAAGTCTATGTCTTTGACTAATTTTAAGTGGCAAGCTCTTGTTGGCTACCAGCAAGCTCATGTTGGCTACCTACAAGAGTAAATGCCCTATTGGTAGGGAACCTAAGAAAGAGGGAAGAAAGCATTCTAGGAAGTGGAAAGGGGATATAAAAAGAGAATGTATGGAATATAACTCTTTAAGTCAAATTTTTTAAAAAGTCAAAAATTGAGTTAAGGAGCTTTATTTATGTAATTCCTTAGGAAGTGATTTAACTTCATACAAATTTACATAATCGAAAACCCTGAAAAACAGTTGAAATAAATACAAAATAAGAGTTTCAGTTTGGATGATAAGAGGTAAAACGTGAAATAGTTGATATAGTCCATAGAGGGGAAGCAGGGTGAACTGAAACATTAATTACTCATATAAAGTGGTTATGCATGATTCAATGTAATTTAAATCTTTGAAACTAATTTAAAACCAACTCTGTGTGTGTGTGTGTGTGTGTGTGTGTGTGTGTGTATAATAGATAGATATAGATACTTTTTTTGATGCCTTTTTTTCTTTGCAAAATTCTTTGGGGACTTATGCATCGAAATCTTATTCTATTAAAAGCTCAAAGAGTTTGATATTTTTCAAAATATTATAAAGGATTTTTATACCAAGAAGAATGCTGTCATTGAGAAACATTCCATTTTAAACAACTGGTGCTATGTTTTGCCAAGGTGAGATTTCAATTTCCATATCTAAGTTGGGTTAAAAACATATTAATTTTCTCTTATTTTACTTCCTTAACATTGATATGTGCAAAAGTATAAACAATTTTGGTGAATTTTAAAAATTGAATAATAACTTTAGAACGATATTGAAACAGTATTTTCATACTTACAGAAGCCATAAATTATCAAATTACTAAAATAATTTTATTATACCTTTACATTAGCTTTAGTTTGAAAAAGTAAAATTTCTAGAGTCCTCATTTTATTTATTTTATTTATTTATTTATTTTTTTGGAGAGATTTTCGCTATAGGGCACATGCGCTCGCCAGACAGACAGAGAGAGACATGAAGACAGAAAGCGAGAAATCACCGCCCAGGGGGGGATGGTCACGCCGCAATCCCTTCTCCTCCATTCTCCTCTCTGGATCTTGGGCACGCACGCACACGCGCCCAGCATGAGTTTTAAGCCACCGGGTCCGGGATGCGAACCGCGGTCGATTAAGTGGGAGTCCAGCGACATAGCCATTACGCTAACTGCTGGTTCCCAAGAGTCCTCATTTTAAATGACAAATTTTATAATAATATCATAACATATTAATGATTCATTTTAATTTTATCTGAGCTGAATTTTAAGTTTGTACTGTCTTTGGGAAAAAATTATTTGTTATATAAACAGCACTATTGGAATGAAATTTTAATTTGTTTGGCAAAAAGAACTTTATTACCTCAGTAGTAGCTTATACATAATAATTCAATCATTAAAATGGGAAAGAGATAGAGAGTTACATTTGACTCTACTTCATCAAACTCTATTTTTCTTCTTTACAAAAAAATGATAGAGGGCTCATGTGCTCATCAGAGAGAGAGAGAAAGAGAAAGCAAGAAAGCATCCTTCATGGGGCATGGTCATACTACAATCCCTCCTCCTGTATGTCTCCTTCCTCTTGAGATTTTAGGCATGCACACATATGTACCCAGCATAGCTTACAAGTCACTGGGTCTAGAACTTGAACCATACAGTCAGCCGTGTAGTATCCAGTTATCTTAACCACCTGGCCACATTCTGGATCTAATTAATTAAACTCTTAATGGACTTTTCCCTTAAGTCTGACATTTACCAGACATAGCTGTGCGTAGCAAAATTTATTAATCATTATTTTGTGTTTGTAATTGCTGCATTACACCAATTCAATTTAGTTTTTCCTAACAATTCCAGTTGTTAATATTTAATATAAATAAAGGTTATATATAACAAACTCACAGGTAATGTTATACTCAGCAGTGAAAATTTTAATGCTTTTCCTCCAAGATCAGGAACAAGACAAGGATACTTATTCTCACCACTTCTACTCAACATAGTACTAGAAATCAGTCAGAGAACTGAGGCAAGAGAAAGTAGACCATCCAAGTTGGAAAGGAAGAAGTTAATTTTTTTTTTTTTTGCAGATGATATCATCTTTATATAGAACACCCTAAATATTCCAAGGAGCCCAGCAAGTGGTATAGGGATTAAGGTTCTGGACTCCCATGTGGTTGACCACAGTTTGAGTCCTGGACCTGGTGGCATGAAACTCATGCCGGGTGTGTATGCATGCACAGCAAAAATCCTGAGAGGCGAATAGAGGAGAAGGTGTTGCCTCATGACCATTCCCCCTGGGAGGTATTTCTCACTTTCTCTCTCTCTGTCTCTGTCTCTCTGGAGGTGCACTCGCCCTATAGAAAAAATCTCTTAAAAAAAGATTTCACCAAATAACTGTTAGAACCAGTAAACAAATTCAGTAAAGCTGTAGTATACAAAACCAACATATAAAAATTAGCAGCATTTCTATATATTAGCAGCAACTTATTGAGAGAGACAGAGAGAGAGGGAGATGGACTCGATGCCGCAATCCTCCAGCCTCCATAGATTTTTGCCATAGGGCGGGCGCCACCATGCCCCAGCAGCAACTTATTCAAAAAAGAAATTAACTGAACAACCTCATTCATAATAGCTATAAAAAATAAAATTCAAGTAAACAGGTGAAACCCCTTTGTACTGAAAACTATAAAATATTGAGGAATTATTCTGAAGAAAATACAAATAAATGGAGAGATATCTAGCATTCATGGATTAGAAGAATTAGTATTGTTAAAATCTCTAATGCCTAGTAATCTACAGATTCAATGCAATACCTATCAAAATTCTAATGATTTTTTTTTCACAGAAATAAAAACAATTCTAAAATTTGTATGGAACTACAAATGACCAAAATAGCCAAAGTGGGCTGGCCTTGTGCCTAGTGGTTAAGGGAGATAGGTCTCACATGACCAATCATGTTTTGAATCCTGGTCTGGGCATCTTGAAAAACACACTGAGCCTGTGCACGTGGATGTTCAAAATCCTGATGGGACGGGAAAATGGAGGAAATGCAAGATTATTATGCCCTATTGGTAGCTTGCGCACGAAAACACATATACCCTCTGGCAATAAAAACAAACAGCCAAAGCAATCTTGTGCAAAAAGAAGTCTAGAGACCTCATACTCTCTAATACCAACATATCCTATAAAGCTATAGTATGTTATTGGTATAAAAACAGATGCATAAACCAATGGGTCAGAATAAGAAACTCAGAATAGGGACCGGCAGTTGGCATAATGTTGCTGGACTCCCATGTAGTTCACCACGGTTGGACTCCTAGACCCGGTGGCTTAAACTTATGCCGGGCACGTGTGTGTGGGTGCCCAGGATCCCAAGAGGAGAATGGAGGAGAAGGGATTGTAGTGTGGTCATCTCCCCAGGGGGTAATTTCTCGCTTTCTGTCTCTCTCTGTCTCTGTCTTTCCTGTCTTTTTGGCAAGCGCATGCGCCCTATAGCAAAAACCTCTCCAAAAAAAAAAAAAAAAAAAAAAGCTCAAAATAAATCCATACATTTGTGGTCAAGATTTTCAACAAAGGGCTAAGAACACATAATGGATAAAGAGTGGTCTCTTCAATAAATTACATTTGAGAAAACTGAATAGTCACATGCTGAAGAATGAAATTAGACCCTTATCTCACACCATATGCAAACATCAATTCAAGATAGATTAAAGACTTAAACACAGATGTTAGTTAAAATGTAAAACAATGAAAAGAAATGTATGGGAAAAGCTTCTTGACATTAGTCTGGGCAGTGACTTCCTGGCTATTACCCCAAAAGCACAGACATCTAAAATGAAAATGGACAAATTAGATTAGATTCAATTAAAAATATTCTGTACAGCAAAGGAAACAAATAGAGTAAACATACAGCCTAGAGAATGGAATTTGCAAACTATACATCTGATAAAGGATTAGTATACAAAATGCCTAAAGAACTCAGATAACTCAATAGCAAGAAAACAACCTGATCTGCAAATGGGCAAAGGTATAAATAAATATTTCTCAAAAGGAAACATACAAATGGCCAACAGGTATAGGGAAAAATGTTCAGCATCACTAATCATCAAGGAAATGCAAATTAAAACCACAATGAGATATATATCATATCTGTTACAGTGGCTATTACAAAAAATATGAGAAATATTAAGTGTCGATGAGGAGATAGAGAACCCTTGCACATTGTTGGTAGGATGTAAATTAGTACAGTCATTATAAAGAATAGTATGCAGGCTCCTCAAAAAATAAAAAATAGAACTGCCATATGATGCAGCAATCCCACTACTGGGAATATACCCAAAGGAAGTCAGTATGTAGAAGAGACATCTACACTGCCATGTTCACTGCAGCATTATTCAGAATAGCCAAGATAGGGAATCACTATAAGTGTTCTCTCACTGGTTGAATGGAAAAGAAATTGTATATATACACAATGGAGTAGTATTCAGGCTTAAAAAAAAAAAGAGAGAGAAATCCTATCATTTTTCACATAAACTTCGTGGAGGACATTATGTTAAGTGAAATAAGCCAGGTACAGAAACACAAATACTGCATGATCTCATGTATGGAATCTAGAAATGTTGAACTAAGAAACAGAATGAGATATTTATTACCAGCAGTTAGAGCAGAAGGTTTGTATCAGGGAGATATTGGTCAAAGGACACAAAATTTCAGATAGAGGAATTTGCAAAAGTTCTATTTTGCAACAAGGTGACTATACTTAATAACAATGTATTATTGAATATCACTAAAAGAGTAGATTTTAAGTGTTCTTGCCATAAAAATTACATATGAGGTAATTATTTTATTAATTACCTTTATTTAGCCATTCCACAATATGTACATATTTCAAAACACCATGTTATACATGATAAATATGTATAATTTTTACTTGGCATCTAAAACTACACAAGACATAATACAATGTATGTTTGAAACTGAGAGGAAACTATTACTTATATGTGGACAGTACGATAGTTACTAAATTTTTCTGAACACATTCTAAATCACATAGTTCACTTATCAAACTATATTTAATCATTAGTTCATAATGTCTTACCAACTCTCATTTCTCATAGTATGAAAATGGGACAGATAATAAGCATTCTTAATGCCATACCCCCTGATTGTCCTTTTCATTCATATGAAGATTTCCAGATGCATTGGGATGACCTGGTAAGGAATTGGATTATACATTATATTAGAAGGTATTTAATTTTGTTTCTTACAATTTAACCTAAATTTAGCTTTACTCAAGATGTTTCTAATGTTGTGTTTAATTTTTAGTATGGCTATAAACTTCCACAAGATTATGGGAATGTTAAAATATACTGCAGCATCTACTTCAGAATGATTGGAGAAAGAACCTTCACATATCCTTTACACACCATTTAGAGCAGATGTTCTCTGCCCACCTTATGCCACTTACAATATGGTCCCACCCATATCATCATCTTTTTTTTTTTAAATTTTATTTTTTTCTTGGAGAGGTTTTTGCTATAGGGCACGTGCGCTCGCTAGACAGAGAGAGAGAGACAGAAAGCAATAAATCACCCCCCCCAGGGGGGATGGCCACGCCACAATCCCTTCTCCATCTCCTCTCGGGATTTTGGGCACGCACGCACACGCGCCAGGCGTGAGTTTTAAGCCACCGGGTCTGGGACTCGAACCGCGGTCAACTATGTGGGAGTCCAGTGACATAGCCATTATGCTAACTGCTGATCCCTCATCATCATTTTTAACTTCTGTCTAAATAAAACTGCTTTTTCCTTTACTAATCTGCCTGTTAGTGGCTTTGCTTAGAATTTTCCACTATTTTTATTTAAGGATGGACTTAATAAGAATAATATATTTTTTAATTTTTTATACATTCAATCTGTTTATATCATTATAGCATGTAATTGTTTTCCATAAACACTATCTCAACAATTTAGAGAACGAAGGCAAATTTAAAATAAAAAAAATTTACATGTTTCCTAATAGAAAGAAAACAATCATTTAATTCCTTAGACAAGAGCTCCCTCTAGTGGCAATTTTGATATTATTCAAAGTACTGAATATAAGTAATAGGTTGTTTAACAAAGATTTTTCCTTTTGGAAAATTATGTCAGAGAGATAGAAAGTGAGAAATCACCCCCCAGGGGGGATGGCCACACTGCAATCCCTTCTCCTCCATTCTCCTCTCAGGAACTTGGACATGCACTCACCTACACCTGCACCCAGCATGAGGTTAGGCCACTGAGTCCAGGACTGGAACCACGGTTCACTACATGGGAGTCCAGTGACAGCCATTACGACAACTGCTGGTCCTGGAGAGTGCTTTTTCTTTCTCTCTCTCTCTCTCTTGCAATTTATCTTTTGTGCACATACTTGCCCTCTGGCAATTAAAAAGATGTCCTTTTCATCTCTTTTTAAAATAATGTCTTTCTTTTGCGGGGGGTTGGAGGGGTTATAGGGCATGTGCACTCACCAGAGAGAGAGTGAGAATGAGAGAAAGTGAGACATTACCCCTCAGTGGTGATGACTATGCCACAATTCCTTCTCCATTCTTCTCTAAGGATGACACAATCTCTTCTTCTCCATTCTCCTCTCAGGATTTGGGGCATGCACACACACATGCACAGTGTGTTTTTAAACCTCTGGGTCTGGGACTCAACCCACAAAAAAGGCATTTTTCTTAATAATAGTTGTTAAAGTCTACACATGATACAACACAGGTAGTCAGGTTAAAACTCTTATGTATTAATTAGATTAACTGATTTTGTCACTCCCATCTCTTTTTGTATTCTAACCTGCTAGAGTTTTTAAAATGGTGAAAGTAGAGAAGGTTATAGTGTTCTCTTTCTGCATTCTACATTTCTAACCCAAATCTTAATGATAAAACAACCTGATGAAGAGTCTTCAAAAAGTTTATGGAAAATGTGTATCATGAAAACTATACATGGGTTTCACCACTTTTGCACCAAAATAAACTCATAATTTAATTGTACTTTTCTAAGACCTTTTTGAAGTCCCTTCTGTTTCAGTTATTTCCCTTCAGTAAATGCCAAAATATTATTCCAAGTATTCAGAATATTTTTCAACAAAAACAGTAATTGCTTTTCTCTAAAAAACTGCTTTGCCACCTGAATACAATCTATATGTGATGTTTTTCTGTACTGAATTTTTTGCTGTTTTTAGAGCTACAGATTATTTATTGTTTATTATATTTATTTTATAATCTTTAATGTCATAATATATTCTCCCTATCAGTAATGTAATAATATATTCTCTCTATAATCATTTTGGCTATATCTTACTTTGCCAGTCCAATTAGAAAGTCTTATAAGGACATAATAAATTATTTTTATTGTGAATGCTAAAATAGAATGAAGATCCTCGTGAGAAACCATGCTTTTTAGTGTTAGATAGAACTGGATAAGCAAAACAAAGAAATAGTTAGAATCTATGTGTGCTTTTTTCTCTTTAAACTTACAGAAAGACATGTGCCTCCAAGTTCCTCATAGCACAATCCATCCCTTGTCTCAGTGAGCCCAGATCACTGGCGTACAAGCATGTACCCAGCATGTACATGGAGGTCCTGGGACACAAACCCGGGACCTCTCCTGTGTGGGTCAGCAGTGCCACCACCATAGCATCACCTAACCCTGTATGTGTGCCTTTTTAAGATTGCTATTTTAATTTTTTAAATTCCATATAAATTTTTATCACTTATGTACTAAATTATTTGACATTGTTCTTTAACATTGTTCAGTTACCCTCTCAGTTGCATCAGAAGTCAACCCATACAGTTCTTTCCAAGAGTAAACTTGGAAAACGTATTGAAAAGTTTTCTTGCAGACTTAAAGTCTAAACTGCCTCATATATGTGGATTTCCCATAAAGATGACAAATAAACCATGCTACCACACTCAAGAACTAATTAAACCTCAAATACAGGTAAGAGATTTCTTGTCCTGTCCTCTTAAGACATCTTATCACTTGTCTTACTTGAATCTCTTGTTTTCTGTAATGATATACCCAATCCATCATGCAGTAATTCTTCTCTCCATTCTATATTTCCTTTACACTATTTGATGTCATTATTGTACTTAACTTGTCATTGTCATTGTTGTTATTATTGTATTTCAAATTATAGTAGTAGTTTATTGAAATTTTCACTCACATCAAGGATAAAAATGAGTTTGATTAAAAAGAAGGAATTTTATAAGGGAATTTATTTGGAGAGACTGTGCTGTCAGTACAAGCTCAGTTGAATGGAAGGTGAGATGCCTTCTCACTAAGTCATAAGTGGGGGGCTTTTATGCAACTGCTCAGAATCTAGTGTGACTCCTGCAGTAGGAGGAATATAGTGGGCCAGTGTCTGGCTCTTAGCTGATTTAATTAAGAAATTAGTATAACTGGTATCCACTGATGAACACATTAAAGAAGAAACAACCATTTGGGGATTGGCCTATACTTCAGAGTTTGTCCAAACAAGAGGTAGAAGATTTACCTTGAAATCTGACTCCCAAGTTTGATTTTTTAATAAGTCTGGACACTTTCAGGAAGGAAGAGGTTTCCTGTTGGCATTTTCCCCTCTGCATTTTTAATATCTAATTTCGTGATTCATTTATTTATTTATTTATTATATTACATTGAATCACATATAACTTCACAGTGTATTACATTTCTTTTTCCAGAATAAATACCATGCATATCAGTCAATATACAGACATTAAAATCCCCCATTTGATCATCCACAAGTTTTTCATTTTTTCCCAATTATTATCCCAATTATTTTTTTAAACTGTCAATCACTATTTATCATTTTATTTGTAAAAAGACTTTAGCAAACATGAAGTACTTCTCAGACCAGTCCAGTTGAGAATACTATACATGTCATCACCAACAGGTAATAAACCATATCTGGGGACCAGCAGTTAGTGTAATGACTATGTTGCTGAACTCCCATGTAGTCAACCATGGTTCGCATCCTGGACCCGGTGGCTTAAAACTCACGCCGGGGGACCAGCGGTTAGCGTAATGGCTGTCACTGGACTCCCACATAGTCAACCGCGGTTCAAGTCCCGGACCCAGTGGCTTAAAACTCATGCCGGGCGCGTGTGCGTGCATGCCCAAGATCCCAAGAGGAGAACAGAGGAGAAGGGATTAAAGCGTGGCCATCCCCCCTGGGGGGTGATTTCTTGCTTTCTGTCTCTCTGTCTGTCTCTGTCTGTCTGGCGAGCACACACTCCCTATAGCAAAAACCTC